AAGGGAAAAAAACCCCCCCCCCCCCCCGGGAGACCCCTGAAAGTCGTACTGTTGGCAAGAGCGTTTATCGCATTTAAATAGCATTTAAGCAATAGAAAACGTTTTCCGTGTTTCAATAGCCTGATATAAACACGAGAGGGGTTGGGAGAATTCGAGACAGTTATGCAAACCCGAGACGAAGTCGAGGGTTTGCAAAAACGGTCGAGAATTCTCCCAGTCCCTCGAGTGTTTATATCAGGATATGCAAACACAGCAAAAAACGTTTTCTACTGCTTTTATGAAATAACTTTTCCGAGAAAAAAATCCAAACTCTCTTGTTCAGAGCACTGATTAAAAAAGAAATTCTTACCAGTCGCAAAGTCTTGTACACGAAGCTTGTACGCGTAATCAGTCCTTGTTTTGCAAGAAAGATGCTTTCCAAAATACGGGTTTTTGCCGCTTACAATGTCAGCTCAAGCGAAAAAAAAATTAACACAGCATGTTTCTAAAGATTTTCCAAGTTTCAGCCGACAAGGAAATGGGTAAATAAAGTAAACTTGTCGACGAATTTTTCAACTCAAAACCTTTTTCAAATTTGTGCAAAACATCATTGACGTCACAACCACGTTTACATACTTTCATACAAACACGCCTTTACACAAACAATATATCAACCCACTGGTAGCCCTCTGCTACCAATAATCCCTAGGGGAGTCCTAGGTACTAGAGTGAACCCGGATACCTATAGGGAAATTCGATTTAAATACGGATACGCGTGGACGTGGAAATTTTTGAATCCGGAACCCTCTATCTCCCCCTTTTTTAAGATGAGCAGTAATTTTCTTTCCCTAGAATAAACAGAGAACACTAGCAAAACTGATGTAGAATACGAAGTTAAACAAATCTTCCCGTTTATTCGTTTTTCTGAGGCTTCTAAGAAGGGCTTTAACTTTGACTTTGTGCTAATAAAAACCATGCGACTTAACAAAATGTGAAAAAAAAAAACATGAAAAAAAAAATACTGGATAATGCACACCACCTTTGCACGACGGAAGTTTATTGGAAATGTGCTTTTAATATAATTGCCTTGACGTTCAAAGGTTTTCATATTTCTTACGTCCAAATTTACCCCAGTTCGCAACACGTTTCAAAACGTCAGCAAGGTTACATCACGTGACAATCGTTAGGACATTCGTTCGATCCTAAAACAGTTCCTCGTTGCATCTTTCAAGGCCACCTGGACTCCGGTTTTGAACAGCTCTTAAGAGGAAAGGTGGAACAAAGTAGAAGCATTCGTGGAGAGTCCTTCATCCGATCTATTCGTCCAACGTACTACTGACTCCGCTCCCGTTCTCTTGGAAAAAGGACGTTATAATACACAATGACAGAGGCAAGAGATTTCACTCCTTCCCTCGTCCTAAACTGCGTCGTCGATTCCTTCCTGTCTTACGCAACAGTGATGTTGAACATCGTCTTAATATTCGCGCTGAGAAGAACTTCATCACTGCCAAAGACTCTAAAGGCATTGATCCTTAGCGTGGCTATTTCTGATCTTGGTGTGGGATTACTTGCCCAGCCTTTGTACATCGCTCGCATGATTATGGACATGACAAACACTAACGACCAAGAAACTTATAAAAAAATAGTTAGAGTCATAGGACGCACCCTTGGTTATGCCTCATTCTTCGGCGTCACAGCCATCAGCGTTGACAGATTCCTTGCTATCCACCTTCACCTCAAACACCAGGAACTTCTCNGATACGCGTGGACGTGGAAATTTTTGAATCCGGAACCCTCTATCTCCCCCTTTTTTAAGATGAGCAGTAATTTTCTTTCCCTAGAATAAACAGAGAACACTAGCAAAACTGATGTAGAATACGAAGTTAAACAAATCTTCCCGTTTATTCGTTTTTCTGAGGCTTCTAAGAAGGGCTTTAACTTTGACTTTGTGCTAATAAAAACCATGCGACTTAACAAAATGTGAAAAAAAAAAACATGAAAAAAAAAATACTGGATAATGCACACCACCTTTGCACGACGGAAGTTTATTGGAAATGTGCTTTTAATATAATTGCCTTGACGTTCAAAGGTTTTCATATTTCTTACGTCCAAATTTACCCCAGTTCGCAACACGTTTCAAAACGTCAGCAAGGTTACATCACGTGACAATCGTTAGGACATTCGTTCGATCCTAAAACAGTTCCTCGTTGCATCTTTCAAGGCCACCTGGACTCCGGTTTTGAACAGCTCTTAAGAGGAAAGGTGGAACAAAGTAGAAGCATTCGTGGAGAGTCCTTCATCCGATCTATTCGTCCAACGTACTACTGACTCCGCTCCCGTTCTCTTGGAAAAAGGACGTTATAATACACAATGACAGAGGCAAGAGATTTCACTCCTTCCCTCGTCCTAAACTGCGTCGTCGATTCCTTCCTGTCTTACGCAACAGTGATGTTGAACATCGTCTTAATATTCGCGCTGAGAAGAACTTCATCACTGCCAAAGACTCTAAAGGCATTGATCCTTAGCGTGGCTATTTCTGATCTTGGTGTGGGATTACTTGCCCAGCCTTTGTACATCGCTCGCATGATTATGGACATGACAAACACTAACGACCAAGAAACTTATAAAAAAATAGTTAGAGTCATAGGACGCACCCTTGGTTATGCCTCATTCTTCGGCGTCACAGCCATCAGCGTTGACAGATTCCTTGCTATCCACCTTCACCTCAAACACCAGGAACTTCTCACCTACCAAGAATTTGTGACTTATAAGCGTGTTGTGGCTACAGTGATCTTAAGCTGGATTCTCAGTGCGTTCCTGGCTCTGAACGGTGTTTTAAGCAGTGAATATCCTTCTAACATTACAGAAGTAGCTGTGGCAATGGCTTGTTTATTGACCATGGCTCTAATATATTTCAAGATTTACATAGTCGTACGTCGCCACACCGTTCAAGTTCATGCACAGCCAGCCCA